ACCTTCGTTTTTACGAAGAAGAAAAGGCGAACAGCCAGGAATTTGCGATGCAGCTTGCTGAAACCTCTGGCGCTGATTTTTTCGTGCAGGACGGGTTTGGCGTTGTTCATCGCGCGCATGCTAGCACCGAGGCAATCACGCATGAACTGCCGAGCATTACCGGGCTTTTACTTGAAAAAGAGTATGTGTCTATCACGGGCGCGATGAAAAACCCAAAGCGGCCCCTGGTTGCTGTACTCGGCGGCGCCAAAGTGAGTGACAAACTGCCGCTTTTACAAGCGCTTGTACCTATAGCGGATCAGATATTGGTTGGCGGTGCTATGGCAAACACGTTTTTGGCGGCACGTGGCTATAATCTTGGCAAAAGTAAATACGAAGCAGACCAAGGTGTCGAGATAGAAGAAATCATGCGCCAGGTAACCGTAAAAGTGGGTGCGGGCAACGGGGATGAGTTTTTACGCTTACCAAGCGACGTGGCTGTCGCGAATTCAGTTGATGAGGCGAGCGAGAGAAAGGTAGTTGGTATTGATGCTATCTCTGATGAGGAGCTAGCACTTGATATAGGAGAGAGAACGATCGAAGATTTCGCGGCACGCGTCAAGACGGCTCATACGGTGATATGGAACGGTACTATGGGGTATGCGGAACTGCCGCAATTTTCCCATGGGTCGGCTCGAATGGCGTTGGCTATCGCAACGAATGTCTCAGCTACATCAGTGGTTGGAGGTGGGGATACCGCCGATTTCGTATTAGGCTGGGACGCGAAAGAGGGCGCCAGCTTCAGTCATGTGTCTACAGGCGGCGGCGCCAGCTTGGAGCGGATGAGTGGACAGCCGTTGCCCGGAATTGAAGCGCTCCTCGACAAATAAGCTTGCAGGGCAATCTTCAGATTAGCAACTTGCGGTCTATGCAATTACGAGCGAAACTGATACACTGAAACGAGAAATTAAGCATAAGAATCAATCAAAGTGGGCAAAACGACTCTTATTATCGCAAACTGGAAAATGAACTTCACCGTACATGAGGCGAGTTTGTATTTGCATAAACTCGACAAGGAACTGGTGAATCATCATAATGTCGAAATGGCACTTGCTCCGACCGCTCTATGTTTGCAGCCATTAAGCCTGCAGATCCATGGTGGCAAATTCAAGCTTGCTGCCCAGAATCTGTATTGGCGTGATGACGGGCCATTCACAGGTGAGGTGTCTGCTCATCAGTTGCGCGGGCTGGTAAAGTACGCGATTATCGGCCATTCTGAGCGACGTCATGTGTTCCATGAGCATGACAAAGACATACGCCACAAG